GAACGATCAAATACAACTTTATTTATTTTCTATGTTTATTAACAAACACACAAACGAATATGTTTACATGCCGCTATATAAAAATATTACTTGTTTTTTTGTCTTTTAACTGTCCATAAAACCATTCTGTTTGCCATTAATAAACATGAACACGTTTTTTTTCAATTTAGAGACAGATTCGATCAAGTAATTTCTAGTTTCCCAATAATTCGCAATTATTTTCTTACGGTTTCAAGAATTCGATGATTGGTTTTATTTTTCTCTCTTTTTAAGGTAAATTGTTGATTACCCTGTACTTGGCGTTGCCTGATTATATGTTTGTATTTGAGTTTAATGATATTTTATATTGTAGATAGCGTTTTATGGTAAGATATTTCGGATATTGGCAATTTATTTCGGTTTTGTGACGTTTTCAAGTTTAGTTCGTCTTCGAGATTTTACTGAAGCTGATGCTCTTTTGTTTCCATTTTCCCGTGTCCGATTATCTTCATACTTTGTTAATATTAAGAATGTTATTGATTGCCTAATAATACGTTTTCTTCGTCTAATTTAAATAATAATTGATATGGCTGAAAATGGAATTAGAATTTATATCTGTATCTCTCTGTGTGGTTCTTCGGCCTCATCAAGACCCGGATGTTGGCGGGGTTTTAAGCGTCACGAACCTATATAAGGTTAAACGTTGACCTTAACAGTCCATTATTTACTTTCCTGTTGTTGTTTTTTATTGTTCTTTTTTTCCTTAAGTGACATTACTATAGCCTTCATGTCGTAGAGTATATGGCTGATCAAATTAATCTTTCTGTGACAATTCTCGATTACGCAACTCGTACTAAAGGACAAATCTCGATTACGCGACTCGTACTAAAGGACAAAAGTCGATTATGCAATTCAGAATGATTTTTTTACAGCTTATGCAAATGGAATTCCAAGATTATATTCTCAGTTTAAATCCGTCTTAGCCTTAAAAAGGAGAAGTAGTGAAATATGAAACACGCCCTTATCGTGCCGTGGGTATTAACATATATTAAAAAAATTATGTCTCAACAAGTATATCTTTATCGGAATTTAATGCCGGGAGATATATTTCCAAGGTAGTTAATTGAGAGTACTTTTGGTATTATCGTTTCTTTTTTCTTAATCTCTCTCTCTCTCTCTCTCTCTCTCTCTCTCTCTCTCTCTCTCTCTCTCTCTCTCTCTCTCTCTCTCTCTCTCTCTCTCTCTCTCTCTCTCTCTCTCTCTCTCTCTCTCTCTCTCTCTCTCTCTCTCTCTCTCTCTCTCTCTCTCTCCCTCTCTCTCTCTCTCTCCCTCTCTCTCTCTATCTCTCTCTCTCTCTCTTTCTCTCTGTCTCTCTCTCTCTCTCTCTCTCTCTCTCTCTCTCTCTCTCTCTCTATATATATATATATATATATATATATATATATATATATATATATATATATATATATATATACACGGGGCATCTTGACATTATCACAATATAATCAACCACTGCAATGGCTAACGAATCTCAGGAGACTATTTCCCAAGATCGATTTTCACATACAACGTATACATTAACCGGCCCATGCCAGTGTTGTCAGAAGGCGCCCTCGCCTCCTTGAGCCGCCCTGGGCCTCGCGTCTCTCCCTCACGATTCCTGCCGACGGATGGCCAAAGACCCCCCCCCCCCCCCCTCCCCTCCCCCCCCACAGCGTCTTGGCCACCGTCCTTCTCCGCGTTCGTGACCGACTGAAACCTGGCGGATGGATGCGTATTCGTGTGACATTGACCCGAAAACGTTGCCGCGAGTTATGTCACCTACTTCGCTGGGGATTTTACAAAACCGGGAAGGAAGATGCCTGCGGAGGGGTCTTTTCTTCTGTCTGCTTTTATTGCTTCTTCTTTGTCTTCTTCTATTTTTTTCCTCTTCTCCTCCTCCTCCTCTACCTCCTCCTCCTCCTCCTCCTCCTCATTATTATCATTATTATTGATATTATTATTATTATTATTATTGTTTTTATTATTATTATTATTATTATTATTATTATTATTATTATTCTCGTTCTTCTTCTTCTTCATTTTATTAGTAGTATTACTATAATTATCAACTTAATAAGGATTAACTATGGTCAGATCGCCTTCATAATCCACATACACATTTTTGCCTAATAAATTTCACCCACATAGAACATGCGAAATTCCCCGTTTAAGCGAACATACTTTCCATTATATCAAGTTACATCATTTATCCAACAATATACAACATTCCTTTACAAACTCATTTTCACTCTCCCTCCCTTTCCCTTCCTTTCCCTCCCTTATTTTTTTTTCTATAATTTTCCAGACGTACACGACAGACAGTCAAGTAGCAGACAGTGCCGCGAGTGCCACAGCCTACTTGTGTGGCGTTAAGGGCAACCTTGGCACTATTGGCGTGGATGAGAACGTTAGTAAAGAGAACTGTTCGGCTCAACAGAACGCTGCTTTCCATACGGACTCCATCGCCAAGTGGTTCCAG